CTTATTTTTCTCCATATCAGTTCATTATTATTTACATTAAGAAAGTCGTGTCATTAAATTGTATGAATCTATTCGCATTACTATTAGTGTTTGACCTCAAATGTCTCTCGAGAAAATATACTAACGACTATGCAGTTTCTAGAGTCATTATTTTTTTATTCATAGCTATAATAATATAATAGCCACTACATAGCGGCTTAAAAATCACGCACCCACAACCCCATACCATCCCATTGGTTTTGTAAAAGGCAACACAAGGAAACTGGAACTGAGTAGATAGATAGCAGCATCTCGCTGACAACGACCCAAGATAATAAATAAACTGGCCAAGAGCGTGTCGCGCCACGCTCAGTGTAGGGTTCCGTAGTTTCCCGTCAGTCACAATAAGTGTTCCCACTTGAGTTTAAAGGTATCCATTATGTTCGCGCTCCAGCATCGCTCCGCGCTCCTGCAACTGCCCCCGGTAGTGGGTACTGTTGTTTCCATCCAAGTTCAAAATGATTTTCCAAGAAAGTCCTTATAAAGTTCTACTTTTCAGATTTTTTTCATATTTTCTAAACTTATGTTTCAAAAGTTAGGGGGGGGGACACATTGTTTTTTTACTATTGGAGCGATTATTTCCGAAATTATTGACATTATCAAAAAATGATTTTAGTAAAACCCTATTCATTTTTAAATACCTTTCCAACAATATATCACACGTTAGGGTTGAAATTAAAAAAAATCACTTCCCACTTTACATATAGGGGGGCTACCCTAATAAAACATTTTTTTTCCAATTTTTATTTTACCACTTTGTCGGCGTGATTGATACACATATTGGTACCAAATTTCAGCTTTCTAGTGCTAACGGTCACAGAGATTAAGCGAGGACGGACAGACGGACAGACAGCCATGGCGAAACTATAAGGGTTTCTAGTTGACTACGGAACCCTAAAAATGCAGTTGTCAACGCACCTATTGCCATGTATAGCACTATTTTGTTTCTTAATTTATCCCCCGTACTAAGGAGGCCTAACAAAGATCTCTTTTGCAGTGGGAATTTTATAATCAGCAACGAATGAATTAAGTAATGATTAAAATATAATGATTTCAATTTTAGAATAAATGAAAATGATGAATGAAAAAAATGTGTGCCTAAATCGTAGAACATGGGTTCGACGTGACTCAAATTGATTTCCAGTTCGGGATGCGTAATGACTTTAACCTTCCGGAAACAGGATGAGCGCTCTATTGTACTCGATAGTTTCATTATGTTTACCGAGTACAGTGTAGGTAATCAGGGTATCATGATAATGGCCACCATGGGGTTTTAGCTGTTGTCCCTGCAGAGGAAGGTATGAGAATTTCCCCAAAATCAAGTCTAGTTATATTACGATTCTTCCATGGCTTTTAATGTGTACCCGAACTCTTCTTCAATTTTATCGCAATGTATTTTAATTATTCGTTTTAGGTATGGGCCATATGGTGGTCGTTTGCGTAAACACATGAGGATTTTACAGAATAAAGAGTGTAAGATGCTGTTAAGATGACGACGTCGTTATATCGAAAATTTCTTAAATTTAAGTAAAATTACATGAATCTTTTCTTAAATACAACTTAACAACAAAACACAACTACAACCGCAATAAAAAAGTCATTAATTTCCAAGAGCATGATTTATATGGTTAAAAATTTTACTTATGTTCCGGTTTGAAGAGTAAGGAGAACCAAACTAATTACAGATTATGGGATATTTATTCATGGTATAAGCTCGTTCGTAACCCTAATTTTAAAACTAGGTAAATAATTTTGAAAGTGGAAGTGAATGGAAAGATTACTATACTTCGCAAATACCACGTACAATATTATACAATTACGAGTTCGTAATCATAACAGAAACACGCCCACTTATTCCTGAAAACAATATAAAACACTATACCTACGATCAAAAATTCTACTAACGTAATAGTATTTAAAAAAAATTGAAGTGACTTGAAACTTAAAGTCCACTTAAGGGTAAGCGGTTGCTTGCATAGCGTATTGTGCTCCAAATACGCTATGCAACCAAGTTTAGATGAAAAGCAGATACAGATGGGACGTCACCTCAGAGATTTAAGATGGATTACTTCGCAGCCCGTAATTGAATTAGATATGTTTATACTTCAGATCGGAACATATTATATATTGAATAAAACTATATTTACAGATTTTATCGCGTTTAATTAACTACTTTTACTTATTTTTAATACCCGACGTTTCGGGTGCTTTACAGCAACCTTGGTCACGGGGGGACCCATGGTCACGGGGGGTCAATCCCCCCGTGCTGTAAATATAGTTTTGTTCAATGTGTAGTGTTCGCGTAAACTTAAGAAATCATTACATATTATATATGCAGGCACTGCTTTGACTCCAGAAACAGTTAAGGAAGTTCTTGTCTAGTCGGACCTTTAGGCAAAAAAGGAGTTCAAAAATCTAAGGGAATTTCTTCTTTACGGGGCCATATTAGTTTACAGTTTTACACAGGCCTCTCCAATGTTAGGAAAAACGTGCCGTTATTTTCATACCTTCGAATTGTCTATCCCGTTGCTCCCCAACGCCAGTTTATAGGTAATTAATATCTGGCGCAAAAACATGGTTAACCGATATCTGTCGAAGTTTATGGATCTTTTACCCTTTTCCAAGTCTCTTCACTCCACAGGATCATATTGAATGAGGGATTTTATAATTGTATAATGGAAACGAAAATATCGTTAAAAATTAAATTAATTTTTTTCAGATTTTATTTCGTTTAATCAACATATTTTTCATGTTCCATACGTTTCAGGTACTTCGTAGCGGCCATGGTCACGTTGGTGAGACTGAAGTGTTTAACGTCCCATTGTGATCCACGGATATGTTCAGCTTAAAACTATTAAGCTTCGGTCTGATCTAAAAAGAAAATTATTATATGTATTGTATTATATTATGATATATTGCAGTGGCGTGCTTGGGATTTATTTTTAGCAGTATAGGAATCCAAGCACGTGGTAGCTTCTATCTCCTATATTGAAATAAGGTAAAAATGTTTTTTATTTATTTAAATAGGCTCGTGATTTATTCTAGCTAATTAGTGTTCCTATATGAGAATTTTTGGTCTATGAAATCCGATTTAGTAGTGGCGCCCCTGAGCATGTTCATAGACTGCAGAGTTTTTGAAAGTTTTTATGTGATGGAGCCAAGCTGCAACTTTATTATGGTTATAGCACGAATAGCTCGGCTCGTCCGGGGAAGAACAACGCTCTTACCCAATACATGCGTAAAACAGCATCTAAATGCGTGTTTCGTATAGTGAGTGTAGATAACCGGAGACTCCATATACTGGAAGCGAGGTATTCCATCTTAGTCTTTCGGCGTGATAACGCATCTGCATTTTGAGTCTTAATCGGGGATAAATGTAGATGTTTATGGGTCACACCATCCACTTACCATCAGGTGGACTGTGTGCTCGACAGTCCACCTGATGGTAAGTGGATGGTTGTGTTTTTGGATTTTCACCCTTGTAAATGTCTTAAAACCTTCTTATATATAAAAACAATTGCTAACCGTAAGTCTCGCAAAAACTCAAAACATATTTTGATGAAATTTTTGTGAGTGTTTGAGTCCTTGGAAGATCTAAACGATTCACAATTCGCTCCAGTAGATGGCGCTGTTGTCGAGATCCAGAAATAACCCGTGCGAAGCCGGGGCCGATCGCTAGTATTAGTAAAAAAATAATATAGTAATAGTAGTATTATTAATAAATGTGAACAGCTTTCATTTTCTGAATGTTTTATTTACAATGGTTTACTATATTTAACGTAACGTAATTCATACGGAAACATTGTACAATACTATATATATATATATATATATATATATATATATATATATATATATGTGTCCCTGCATATGCGGTATTTGGCAGTCAGATTGGTGAGTTGTTTGTATCGTTTCTCGGTCTGCAAAGCCAGTATAATCACTCTCAGTAAGTTATTCCATTTTAGTTCTTGGAAGTGACAAGGCAATAGCTTTTTTATTTTAAGTTGGAAAGAGATAGACTGGAAGCTTGTTTATCATTTACTTTAATAAGGAATTGAATTCGCCAAGACGCAAACAACTAGGGTTAAGGCTAATAATAAGTTTAAATGCAGTTTTATTTACACAGAAAATTAATTTAAAAATAGTTATTTATCAAGATTTCTTAAATTTACACGAACACTACATATTGAATAAAACTATTTGTAGCTACGGATTTTATCGCGTTTAATTAACTAGTTTTTAATTCTAACTTTTGGAATATAAAAAACGTTGATTAAACGCGATAAAATCCTTATAAATGGTTTTATTAAATCGTTATTTATGTCTTAATATCATGCAAATAAAATAAGTTTGTTATTTTGATATTATAGACCGACACTTCAATTTGGTTTGTATGTATAAAGATAAATGATTTTTGTCGATTCTAAGTCATTTCAAAAATGATTTTTAGTTAGTACAATACTTCAGCGCTTCCATTAATTAAGATTTCATATCACAGATATTATTAAGTTGTCATTTTTGATTTTCGATAATGTTTCAAAATTTTTAAACCTACGAGTATTTCATAAATTTTGGTCATTACTATAGTAACAATGCTTTATCCAACAAATAATTCTATTTACATCGTGATAACATTCTATCACGACCACAACGATTTTCCGTTTCGCTACACACTAGCGCGTGTGTAAGGAAAAGGGTTCTTACACATAAGCACTAAGCGGTATCGCGCCTTATCCAACAGTTAGATGTACCGAGACTCTCGTGCCTGCTTCATTGTACACTCACCGTAGAGACCGTACCCCCGATCTAAGAAGCACAATTCTTTATAGTCTCTACATAGCCTATAAATACGCTAGGCGTTCACGAGCGGTCTTACAGTCTTTTTTATAATCCCATCCCGCGTGCATCTATTCCGAATCAAAATGTTTACAAAAGTGTTTATCTTCATTGTTGTATTAACTATGTCGGAAGTAAAAGCCGATTTAGGAATAAAATATTTAATGAGAATATATGAAGATTGTCAGCAGACAAGTGGAATATTTCCCTGTTTGAAGAAAAAGGCCATATTATTCTTCGATAGAGCTGCTAGGATGGAATCTATACCTTTATTTGACGGTGTTGATATAGTGAAGTCTTATGAACCGGGAGTACCGCCTATTAGTGAAAATGAAATAGATGCACATCTGCCAAGAGGTTTGGGCAGCAAGGATGACACGTTATCAGCTATGCTGTGGGACAAAGTTGCAGCGTTTGCTAATTCTAGGACAATTCAATTTTCCCTGCCAAAGATGTCTGGCGAAGAGTTAAACAGAGGGGTTGAAGAAGGTGAGAAATTTTCAATAAAAATTCCAATGTATTAAAATCGTATTAGAACATTCTTGCACTATTACGTATTCACTTTAAAAGCAAATCATTCAAACCTTTGATCATAATATTATGTGAAAAAATTTATTTTATTCTTCAGAATAAATAGTTATACTAAGTATTAGATTACACTTGAATAAAATATTATTATACTATACTAAATTGTCATTTTAAAGTGACAGTAGCCTAATGGCAGGGCTCAGACCGCGAACTCAAAAGGTCGTGGGTTCGAATATCCGCCATTCGACTACTGTCGTGAACCACTCCTAACACAAGCGTTTTAAGCTTACCAGGAGTGGTTAAAGGAATATTAGTAATGTTAATTAATAGGATTACTGATATTTTATAAAAAAAAATAAAAAAAAATTTTAAACGGTTGGGTTTTAACATGGATTTGTAAAGACACATGCATTTTTTTAAGAGTATACAAAACAACGAAATAAACCCATTATAGACTGATTTTCCAATAGTCAGATAAATGTTTTCCTTCAAATAAATTATAACCCGAATGATAATAAAAGTGAAACAATAGAAGTATTTTATTTATGAACAAGTATAACCTTTAATTTACGGTGTATTTTATTCCATGTATTAATTTTATCTTAAGACTTACAAATTAAACAAACGTATATACAACTATTAATATAAATAACTTTGATTGATTTTGTAATTGATTCAAACAGTAATCGAATTTAGTTGTAAATTTTTTATGGATTTGTAATTATACAAGTTATTAAGGTTTACAGCACATATAATAACGGAGTTCTTATGGAATAAAAACCCTTGATTGAATATAAGTAGATATACTGAATTACGAAGTAACTTGGTCAATGGCATCGTTTGTTACCTTTCACTGAAACTTCCTTGCAAGTTGAAGCTACAATGATGTACACTTATATTTATCTATAAAGCTTTCTATGTTATAATGAATTATATATATATATATATATATAACAAACTTTTTTATAGAATGTGGGTGACAAACTACCACACAGTCCACCTGATGGTAAGTGGATTCTGTGGCCCATAGACATCCTACATTTATCTTTGATTAAAAATCAAAATGAAAATGCTCTGTCACCCTTGAGGAGTACGATGAAATGCCTCGTTTCCAGTATAAAGGGTCTCCGGTTCCACACTCACCATACATATCACAGCAGTATTGAGCTTCTATTTTACGCTGGTATTATATTTATTTATTCTTCACTATAACACCTTACAAACAAGGTATCAATGGGCGAAATTTTATTCTGTGAGAGCGTGGTCCTTCCTCGGTCGAGCTACAACTATAATATAGCTGCAGCGAAGTTCTGCCACGGATTTTTCACGATTGTCACTTAGAGGGTTAGACAGGGACTACAGACTTCTTCCATTTGGCAAAATTCCGATACATGTATTATACAATGATGAAAATAAAAGCTAATTAAATTTACATGAACATTTATAACAATATTTATTATTTCTTAACGTATCAAGGATTCGCCAGCCACTTGAATAACATTTTAGCTTACCATTTCTTACTTAAGAACGTGTAAAATATTTTTAAAATTACCTATTCAATATTTCATTACCTGATCATGGTATTTTCATTCACGTTTTCTATTTACTTTTCTATTATTTTGCTATCAAAACATTTGAGCTAATGTTACTTTAAGGTTGGGAATTTTACCGTTTTAGTTGCGGCGAAAAGAAATAAATTACCCTATTTCGTCACGTGAGAGTCGTAAGAAAGCTACAGAAATAGATTAGCTTTCGATGGCGGTATACCATCTCGCTTACGCTAGATTTAAAATAGACTGGCGACTGGCAATAGTCTGAGACGTCTAGTACTACGATCGACAATTCTCCAGCCAAGCCTGATTATTAAGGCAAAACATCATCAAAACAGGAGAGCTCATGTCCTGTTGCGGTAGGTCATATGTGGTAGATCCATGAAGCAGGTATATTTATAGTTGTAGCACGAATGGGACGGCTCAACCTGGGAAGAACCACGCTCTCACAGAATACCAGCATGAAATAGTGTGGTGAGTGTAGAGAACCGGTGATCCCTTTTACTGGAAACAAGGTATTCCATCTTAGTCTTCAGAGTTACAAGGCATCTGCGTTTTAATTATAAATCGAGGATAAATGTAGATATCCATAGACCACAGCATACACTTACCATCAGGTGGACTGTCTGCTCGTTTATCACCTTTATTCTATAAAAAATAGACCCACATATGTATTAACGTTACGAACCTCTTCTTTACACTTTACTTCTTACATTTTATCTTCATTAACTATATTTCATACACTCTAACATCTGTAAAAGATTAAAATACTTATGCATTTAGAAATATGACGTAAAAATGTAGAGTATATAACCAACCACACAGATAAAGCAGTTAAGATAAACCTCACTAAACTTCAATCTATTCTTTAGACCACGTACTCCTCGAGTTCTAAAAGACCACAAGGCCATTTTGTGTTGAAACCTTAATGGAAATCCGTTTAATAAAGTGGTTAAAGACAATGTTTTTATTCAAAATAATAACGGATAAACTGGTTCATTCCTGATAGCAAATTTCTCATAACTTTAAGCATTGTTGTATAGTCACGATGGTTACTGCAAATCGCATAAAATCAAACGACAATGCTGTCTCTAACGGATGTTATTTACCGACGACGGTGAGTGTATTTCACTTTTACCAAAGCAATGGACATAATTGCAGTTGGAACAAACGGAAGTTTGAATGGGGTAGCCACTGAATGTACGAATAACATATATTACCGTAAGTTATCATCAACGATCAAAGAGTTGAATGAGAGTACTTATATTATTAAATGATAATACATATATTGCTATTTTATACAAATAAACATTATACTCAAGCTAAGTAATAACGTACTTGTATATATTTTATATTTATACGTGACGTATAATTAAATACAATAAATCTAACAACAATTCATTGAGTCCCTTCCCTGGTTAAGCCGAACTATACGATTACAACCTTCAGCCATAATATAACACTGCAGCTTGGCTCTACCGTGCTTAGAATTTAGCTGCTATGGCTGACCCGTGGCACGAGTAGCTTAGGAGCTAAACTCACAACGCAGTATAAAATAATAATATATGAAATACATATAACAATAACGCTTGAAATATCCAAGGCAAAGACGTACGTTGTTTAATATGAAACCACAGATAATAATTTATGAATAAATGAAGCGACTGTAAAAAATTATTGCTAATGAATGACTTAGCATTTTGCTTGGTTTTTCTTTTTAATTTAGACCATTAAAAGTAGCATTTGAAGGCACGATCTTATCGTTCCGTACGTAACACGTATCAGATTAATTTTCATTATAACTGTATTAATAAGCATGATTTTATTTTAGAATATACATTAAACTAGCAAGTCAGGCAGACGTTATTCTGCCCATTCCGACGACTTTAAAGGAAAGAAAAAAAATTAAAAGTTACTTATTGGCTTAAAAACCACTCTATCCCTCACGTTGGAAAAACTGCTCACCGTGTGCAAAATTTCATTGCAATCATAATGATTTCTTATATTTACGCGAACACTACACATTGAAATAATACTAGTTTTTACGGAATTTATCGCGTATATTTAACTTTTAAATACCCGACGTTTCGAACGTCGGGTATTTAAAATGTGTGTGTTGAATGTGGTCTCTCCTACATAGGACAAACTAAAAGATCAATAAAAACCCGCGTTAAAGAACATATAGCTGATGTGAAGAATCGACGCTCCGGGAAGTCTGCAGTCTGTGAACACGTACAGGATCGCCCCCGTCACTACATCAGATTTGATAGACCGCAGATCCTCGCTAAAGAACACCGATTCCTTCCAAGGATGATTCGCGAGGCTATTGAAATCAAAAAACATCCTAATTTCAATAGAGAAGATGGCTGGGTGCTACCATCTGCTTGGGATCCTATAATAAATAAAATTAATTCCAACCGCATACTGCATTAAGTTCATATTGCATAGATCGGAACAAAAGTTAAATTTTAATCTATGGCAACCGCGGTTAACTATGAGATATGGACGTTGAACATCTCAGTCCTGCCCGTGACCATGAGTGCTGTAAAGCGTTCGAAACGTCGGGTATTTAAAAGTTAAATATACGCGATAAATTCCGTAAAAACTAGTATTATTTCATTGCAATCAGTTCAGTAGTTTAGAAGTTAATCGCGGACAAACGACGTGACCCGTTATTTTTATATATAAAGACTAGCTTGCCAGGCAGACGTTGTTCTACCCTTTTCGATGACCCTGTCATGACCTATTAAAAAACCTTGATTCGCAAAAAAAATGTGGGTTACTCACGGGCAAAAAAACTATCCTATATCTCAAGTTGGACCAAACTGCACACGGTGTGCAAATTTAATTAAAATCGTTTAAGTAGTTTAGGAGTTCATCGCGGACAAACAACGTGACACGTTATTTTATATATAAAGATGGGCATTAATTTATTCCTCAAATGCTCTCCCTGAGATTGCCTAATAGGAAGGATCTTTTACATAGTTGCGATGCTTTGCAGGCGAGTTGGTAACTCCTGCTGCTACTCCTGGCCACCTCCTATTTCAGTTTCGTTCTGTCACCGTTTTCAATACATACATAATACACAAACACTCACGCCTGTCACCCAGAGGGGTAGGCAGAGACTACAGACTTCCATATTACTTTAGCACGATCCTGACATACCTCTCTTGCCTCTTCCACATCCATATACCTACGTATACACGCTCGTCCGTTAAGGGTACCCTTAATTTGGGCCATTTTTAATATATCGCCAATTTGTTCGACAAATTTTCGCCTAGGAGGTCCCTTTTCGACTCTTCCATTCACTTTTGCAACATTATATTTGCTTTGTCAGTCTTTCCTCATTCATTCTTTCTACATGAACAAACCACGCAAGCATTCCTTTCTTAATCCTGGTCACCGAATCATCTTGAAAACCACACTCTTCTTTTTCAATACCTGGATATTATAGGGCAGTAGATTCTCTTATGCCGGCACCAGAAGGTAGAAACCAACTTTTACTGATGACCTAGATGATAAAACATAAAAGGGTAATTAAGGAAGAATAATTGTGCATTTTGATTTAAAAAAAATTAAAATAATTCCAGGTCGAGGCAAGATGAAAAAGATGATGGGCATGATGATGATGGGCGGTGCAATGAAGCTGGCCGCGATGATCCCGCTCGCCATTGCCGGGCTGTTCGTGTTGGCTGGAAAAGCTTTAATAGTTTCGAAGGTAACGCTTATTTAAGCTATATTACTTCATTATCATTATAACAATTTATCGTAAATCTACCGGAATGTATTTACATAAATACTTTGTTTCGAATGCAACATACACTCGTGGGTCACCTGCATTCGTCAATTATAATTTCATCTAATCAGGAATCGCCCCATATAAATGTCTGTACATTAATTACTTACCTGCGTATTATATGAACTTGTGGAGCCCTGGTGGAACACTTACTTTTATATAATCGATGTGAGTTTACTTTCTATTCTATTTATCTTTCAAAAATTTACTCAAATCTTGGATCAATCTTGGAAGTTATGCTTCTGTTTCCTATGGTAAGTGTAGAGAACCGGAGACCTTTTTACTGGAAACAAGGCATTCCATCTTAGTCCTCAGGGCTGACAACGAAATTTTTATTCTTTGGATAAATCTAGACGTCTATGGGCATCCACTTACCATCAGGTAGACTATATGCTCGTTTGTGAATTTGAAATTTAAAATGTTTAATAACGTTTACCTGCCTTTTCTTCATTTTTTTTTGTTAACGGCAGTCTTTTGTGTAAATGGTTCTCTAAAGAAATCTTTTACAAAAGGTGAAATCACCTATAGTTAGTACCTAACGGGTATATAATCCACTATACTATTTAAATTTTTATTTCCGTAGATACAAAACGTACACAAACCAATCAATATTGATTGGATATTTGATGTTTTTCCAATCAAAATCTTTCACATCGTATGGTCTACGAACTTATTTAAATTTGTTAGATGCAGGTAATACTGCAGTTAAGGAACATATCCTTAAGTTTAGGAAAACGACACATATTCACATATTATGTAAAACAGCATAATGTATAAATATCAAATGACAAGAATTATTGAAAGCGATATCAGTTGGAAAAATTATGAGCTGATTAATCCCATTGGCAGGTTCGGCTGCTATACAGTTAATTTCTATTTTTGCATCTTGTGTTTTCGTTGGTCTGCTAAAAAGCAATTAAATACCTCACAATGTTCTGCGTATTCGCGGATACACTATGCCTTCGAAGTATTTTTATTTACACATGTAGGTTTCCTCACAATGTTTTTATTCACAGCCACGAAGGCGGAATAACAGTTTTCAATTGGCAGTCAACGATTTATTTGGTGACAGCGGGGTTTGAACACGGGTTGTTAAGGTACGGGTTGTACCACGACTCAATCATACTTTCGAGAATAGTATCTTAAATATCATTGCTTACAATTTCGTTGAATAATATATTTTTAATATCTGTTCCATTTGCACAATATTTTCATTAATTTATTATAGCTGATGAAAGTCCGCTGTTGAATAAAATATTCCTTGCATGTATATTGTTTCATAAAGGGATATTTGCCATAGTTACCACGTTTGGCAGGCGGGTAGGCAACTTGCCAGTTGCCTGATTTGTTTTCCTCTGTCACCGCTTACGAATCCCACGGGACGATATGGGATTGTAAATATTTTTTCATCGCTGCTGCACTAACTATGAACACAATACAATGTGGTGTACTCATTTTAATAATTACAGTGCAGAGGTATTCACTCAAACGTATACTTTGCATCGTGAGAATCGTTTCGTTAGGTTGTGCGTTACTTTTTCTTTTCTGTGACTGTATACTTTTGATTTGTGTCGAGATTATTTGAATGTACTACATCGTCTCGTCTTTTACGTGACTAGAATTCTAATCCAGGTTTATGTAGTATTTAAGTAACAGGCAGTACTTTGATTTGATTAAATGTGCATCAATTTCAGGTTTTTGTGGTGTTTTCACCTATTGGCAACTTTTGCCTCACTGTTGCGTAAGCTTTGGTGGCAATGGGTCAGCCATATAGCTTAAAAACCGACATCCAATATGGAAGAGACTGCCAAACGATAAACTTACATTAGTTGTCGGTTCTTCGAGCTGTTGCCACTTTAACTTACTGATCCGTTGAACTACTATGTTGTGCAGTTTGGTACCCCGTACCCGTAAGCAAAGAGTAGAGTACCCCAGACGGAGTGACGATCTGGTATGAGATGCAGGAAGTTGATGCACTCCTTAAAGGAGGGCTATGTTCAACGATAGATATGTTATATGTGTACCAATGATGATGATGATGAGGGGTGGCAGGTAACAGTACACCGAATGGTTAGTTAATAATGTGTTCCATAGACATCTACGTCTATATTCGATTTAAAATTAAAATGCAAATACGTAGCCGCCCTGAGAACAAATAATAAATGCCTCATTACTATTTAAAAGGTCTCGTCAGTCGTTACACGAAATACGGCAGCAGTGTATTGCTTTTTAAGGCTTGTTCGTTGCTATGAATACATGACTACCATGGTTACGGTTACAATTCCGTATTCCATACATCTTGGTGTTCTTTTTCATTAGTTTTATTAAAATTAAAAATAAATAAATATGGTGAAGTTTTTTAACATTAAATTAACCACAATTATTCATTTATCTTTTCTTACATTTATTTTTCTTTACTCCTCTTCATCAGCCTCTTTCCAGTGAGGGTAAGATTAGTTACCAGTTATCAACACGATTGCCTATTGCCTACTATCTAGTCTCTACTATCCTCCCCTACTATTTATCCCAGTATTTTACAGAATTTGATGACAATGAATCTTTACCTTTCTCTTACTTGATTTTGTACCATTATAGTATAAAGGTAGTGATATATAAGAACATTAGACTTACACAGGCACTTCATACACTTTATACTCACGGGGTGGTATAGTTTTCTTTATTTGAGATTAGCATGACAAGTAAGGTAACAATTCATCTAATGGTAAGTGTCTACTGTAGCCATTATAGAGCTGTAAATTAATTTAAATAAAGAATGCCACAGAAATGTGTTGCCAGCTCCTTCCACTTGGCCGCATCCAGCGCAGAGCGATTCGAATCGTCGACGACCGAGTTCTATCCGATCGGCTCGATTCACTGGCGCTGCGTCATCATCATCATCATTACAGCCCTTCACAAGTCCACTGCTGAATATAGGCCTCCCCCAAGTAACGCCACAAAGCACGGTCCTGAGCCACCTGCATCCATCGACTTCCTGCATGTCTTACCAGGTCGTCACTCCATCTAGTGGGGGGTCGCCCTACACTACGCCTACCTGTACGAGGCTGCCACTCGAGAACCTTTCTTCCCCATCGGTTATCGGTTCTTCGAGCTATATGGCCGGCCCATTGCCACTTCAGCTTACTAATCCGTTCGGCTATGTCGGTCACTCTGGTTCTACTGCGGATATCCTCATTTCTGAGTTTATCACGCAGAGAAACTCCGAGCATAGCCCTCTCCATAGCTCGCTGAGCGACCTTGAGCGTCCTCATACGGCCAGCGGTGAATGACCACGTCTCTGATGCGTAAGTCATCACTGGCAACACGCACTGGTTGTACACTTTAGTTTTCGGAGATTGAGGTATACCTGACGTGAAGATGTGTCGTAATTTCCCGAACGATTAGTTCCAGACGCCAAATTTCACGAACGCACATCGCGTCAAAATTCACGATACACTCTTTATGCGAGGCGGTCCACCACTGTACGTTTTACTAGAAGTTTTCTTCCTCATACAACGTCTTTATGGAATTGTCTCCCACCGACGACTTTTCCGGACCGATACCACTTAGGGACCTTCAAGAAAAGAGCTCTTTTCTAAAATGCCGACAACGCGCCTGCAATTTCCCTGGTGCTGCGGTTGTTAATGGGCGGCGGTAGTCACTTACAATCAGGTGAGCCGAATACTCGTTTGCTCCCTCTTCTATAAAAAAAAATTATCACCCGTAAGCAGTAAGTTATTATTGTAAATTAGAATTATCAGCAATAGATGCACTGAGCACTCCAAATGCAGCTTGCATGCAGGTATCCTAATTAAAGTAAGCTGATAATTTTTCTACCATCGGTAAACCTAGCTTACAGTAAAATCAGCCAAGCAAAAGCATTTTATGCTGAAATAGTTAAAATTGCCAGAAGTTTTAACATTATTAATAGTAGTAATAGCATAGTATTCTATTATTTTAATATACGTGACCGTTCACTGTGGTCATTACAACCAATATAAACCTTCATGCACTCTTAAACTTACAACAATAATAATGAAACATTTCATTGTCTACGGAAATTATTACATTGCTTTAATACATTACGAAAGCGTGAAAAATTTAATTCACGTCTCCGAATCACGCAAATGTAGAGCGGGGAATATCTTCAAGTAATGAAATACTCGTATGTCAAGCATACACAAAATCACCGTGTCAAGCTTTTGGCTGATGATCTGGTTTAAGCTACATGATACTTTTCAGCAGGTTATAAAATTACTTTTACTTTTAGTTATACTCGTACTAAAACAAGTGCTTACTCGTAATTAACAAATAGGCTTGTAGGATATATAACGAATATAGGAATAGGAGTTTACACCAATTTTATAGAGCTCGGGAAAACAGAAGACCTAAAACAATTGCTGAAATCAATCAAATTGTTAATTATAATTTTAAGTCCAAATTTACTACGTCCTCGGTGGTTAAAAAAACTTCTTAAAGAAACCGGAATTTAAAAAATATTTCGTGGAATTGCGTAGTCCACTATCATGCAATGAGGCAGCATGGCGAACTCTCTCTTGCTCTAATACTCTTTTAGGAATGACAGGTAAATTTTTGTTTTCCATTGACCATCATTTTGACGCATATAGAAAGTTTCTTCAATCTATATTTTATTTGTAAAAATTACACCATACAAGTTGTTTTCTCCTCTGAAATTCTGTTCACTCGTACTAATTTATAATTCTCAGAAATATTTCAATGTCTTTTTTTTGTATATTATAATATAAACAATTGTTGAACTTCACTACTATATGTACTTTTAAGAAAATGTTATCGCAAGTAGCAACAACGATGTTCCATTATATTTCTAGAACGGTGCAGTCACGATCTTAATTGAACGGTGCATTTTGTTTTGAAAGTATAGGCTTTACCTTATTAGATATAATCTAATTAAATTAAAA